CGAGTCTTCACTGATGGCTCCACAACTGACTCTGGGTCGGGATGTGGGGGTCTTTTTCGAACTTAATGGAGATAAGCTTCACTTGTATCTTGGGGAATGAACCCCAGTCTTCCAGGCTGAGGTATTTGCGCTCTTCAAATCCATGGACTACGTGGTGGAAAATAGGTAGAGGGGAAGGAGTTTACATATCTGAAGTGTCAGCCAGGCTGCACTTAAGGCATTGGCCAGCCCCTAACTAGTTCGGCAATGCAAGTCTCCACTTATGTTATTACTTCATGTTGGTTAACATAATGAGCTTGCTTTACTCTGGGTACTAGGTCATTCGGGAGTTGGTAATGAGACATCTAACCATTTGGCCAGAACTGGCTCAAACCAAGCATTTTTATAATTTTAAAACTGGGAGTGATAAAAATAAAAATGATGCCATCAACACAAATAAACTATTCTACCAATACACCAAATGCAAATTCATGAGTGAGCCAAACATGTGAGGAGGGAGGTGTTGCCAAAAAAAATGTAAATAACGCTAGCGCTCGGAGTTCTCTTAAAAAATGCAACTCCTCAGAGCGAGAGAGAACTTTGATCACTTTACGAGCTCTGTTTTTTAAAACTTGCAATCGTATAGTTACATTCTTTTAATAAAGAGAACACAAGAAATACTTTATTTTTATTTTTGCCACTCCGAATTTAGTTTTTGAACTCACCTGCGATGCAAATTTACATGGTTAGGTCTAGTCTTCATATTTTTTGATAAGCTTTGGGAATATGTTAGAAATGTAGCAGCTGGGGGTCCACCGTTACCAGTAAGGCTTTGAAAGGGGTCTACGGGGGAAAAAAGTTTGGGAACCTCTGGTGTAAAGCCTTTACCGTCTCCGAGTTGATGTTATAATAAATTACAAAACTCCTGAAACGGTAAAAGATATACGACGATTTTTGGGTATGTTAAACTTTTATCGCCGTTTCATTCCCAAAGTCGCGTATCATCAATCAAAACTACATGCATTATACAGCGGAAATAAAAAGGGTGATAATAGCAAAATTCAATGGACTAAAGAATTTTCTGCCGCCTTTCAGGAATGTAAGGAACAGTTAGCTTGTTCAACACTCTTAGCGTATCCTTCTCTTAATGCATCAACTTCGCTATGGGTATATGCTTCAGATACTGGAATGGGTGGTGTATTAAAACAACAGATAAATGGTAACAGGAAACCGATTGTTTTTTACTCTAAAAAATTAACTCCTACGCAAATGAAATACAGCGCTTATGATCGCGAGCTTTTGGCAGCTTATTCAGCCTTGAAACATTTTCAATATTTTTTAGAGGGTAGGAAATTTACTACATATAGAGACCATAAGCCTCTTATATACGCGTTCTTACAAAAGCCCGAAAAAGCATCAGCGAGGTAGCTAAGGCAATTAGATTACATCGGCCAGCATACAGTTGATATACGTCATGTTTCAGCAGGTGCCTTATCTAGAGTGGATGTTATAATGAAAACTTTAATAAGTTCAGCGAATTGTAGTCTTGATTTAAAAGAAAAACGAAAATTCCAGAAGTGGATGTTGAAGTTTTTTGTGATGTCTCTACAAAAAACATACGGCCGTATATTGCTCCAAAGTTTCGAAAGCCTCTCTTCGAAAGTATTCATGCACATCCATGAGTGCGAGCGTCAGTAAATTTACTTCGAAGTCGTTTTGTTTGGCCATCTATATCAAAAGATGTAAGTCAATGGACTAAATCATGCATTGCTTGTCAAAAATCTAAAATTAATCGTCACGTAAAAAGTCCTCTTGGTAATTTCACTTATGCTTATGCGTTCTTTTCTGGATGGGTTGTTCGTTATGGTGTGCCAGCTCATATTATCACATATCAAGGCCGTCAATTTGAATCAGTACTTTTTCGTGAATTACATATCTAAAATGCTTGGAATAAAGGTAACACATACAACTCCTTATCATCCGCAAAGCAATGGACAAATTGAAAGGTGGCATCGGACTTTGAAAGCTGCTTTGAAATCACAAAAATCGAGCAATTGGGTGAATTCATTACCTTTTGTCACGATGGGTTTGCACGCAAATGTTATTCAAGACGTTGGTTTTTCTCCAGCTGAAATGGCATTCGGAACAAATCTTCGACTTCCTGGTGTTGGACAAAAGGGCGAGTATAAGGGAGTCAAAATGGAGAAAATTAGCGGATGGTTACAGAAGATATGGAAAAAATTAACTGACAAAGGGCTGCGTGCCAAATGAACTTTTCGCTCATAGTTTACACGGCTGGCAAATGTAAATAAGGATTAAAATTTAAAAACTAATTAATACAACTAAAGTAAAATCTGTGGAAAATTAACAATAAAGTACTTTTTTCGCAAAATTATAAAGAACCCTTTTATTTCTAAAAAAACTGGGTAACAGTTATTCGTCGCCGAGCTGTACACAACGTTAAAATATTAAAAAGTATTTTATTCAATTACAACAACTTTGAAATTTTTTTCGCGCTCATAATTATTATGAAAAGACTTTTATAATATAAGTCTTAAAACAAAAGTCTTTGCAGACTTAAAAATATTTATCTCAATGAAAATTATTATGAAAAAGCTTTTATAATATACGTCTTAAAATAAAAGTCTTTGAAGACTGAAAAATATTTATCTCTCTGATAATTATTATGAAAGGACTTTTATAAAATAAGATGACTCGAAAAATATTTATCTTAATATAATGATTATTGAACGACTTTTATTCTTTTCTCTTATTATTTAGTTATTTCATTTCATTTATTAAATGTATAACCATTAGTACAATAAGATATAATCTTAGTTATGCCTATGCTTTATACTCTATCGACAACAAAATTAATAGTAACATCCAACAAAATATCAACACCAAAACCGATAAAAATATCGGTAACAAAATCCATGACAAATTCGATAAAAAATTCGACAGCAAAATCGATAATATTGGTAGCAAAATCGATAAAAATATCGATAACAAAGTCGATAAAAATATCGATAAAAAGCGTTAAAAAATCGATAAGTCCCGAGAATCCCGAAAATCTCTAAAATCCCAAAATAGTTCCAGATTGAGTCTCTGTGTCTACCTTTCTTCCTCTATATTCATCTTTACTTTTATCGGTATCCTCATCTTTTTCTTTATATTTATCCTTGTTTTTACTTTTACGTGTATCATTCTCTTCATCTACATATTCCCTTCACCTTTGCCAATATATAAGTAAAGTGTTTAAATTTACCTTGGTCTTCATTTTTGCCTTTGTTTTTGTTTTTATTTTTACCTTTGCCTTTATCCTTACTTTCATTCTTGTATTGGTATTTTTCTAAGTGTTATTCTTTAACCTTTTATTAGCTAGTTTTTGTTAAATTAATACCATGTGCATTCACTCAAGAAGCAATTGTTTCAGCCCCAACTATTCCCATTGCACCATTTCCGCGTGCAATTTCCGAGGAATTTGTCAATTTACTCCCAACCAACCAACCGCCGCTAAACAAGTTTCATTTCAAAAAGACAAAAAAAAAGAAAAATGTAGAGGGTTGGTGGTTGTTGTAGCAGCATACAAATTCCCCAAACCGTTTTTGGGAACTGATACTAGAGTAACAGTCATTGGCCAGATATATGCACATACATTAATCTGGTCGTTAGGTTTACGTAGACCCGACTGTCGTGGGAACGTATATATAGGGTTGGTCTAATGAATGGCCGTTCTAGTCACCGGTTCCGAGACTATTCGATTTCTGAATATGAGGCCTTATGTTTAACAAATGGGGAGAATAAAGGACTCAAAATGGAGGAAATTAGCCTGCGCTTTTCTCTCAAAGTGTTGATCGCTGGTAAATCAAAATAAAGGTTAATATTTAAAATCGAATTGATAAAATTAAAGGAAAATCTAAGTAACCCTTTTATTTTTCAAAAATTCTGGGTAACAATTTTCGTCGCCACCTTTGTATATTTCAGTGCACATAAGTAAATTTTTAGTGTGGTTTATTTACATATTTTCCTAGCAAAGAAATTCATTCTCTCTAATTAATGTTGACTTTCTAAAATAACGGGGTCAACTATAGGGAAATTAATTATGCAAAGCTAGAAAGTTGAGCGAATACGAGATCGGATCATATTTTTGGGCGGGGTTTATATCATTATTATCATTTTTTCGATACAAAATGTTATTGCTCCGCATAGCACTGTGAAAAAAATTTTGATCAATTCTCTTCCCCGGGAAATTTTAGCTAATATGATTCCTGAACAAATCCCCAAGGCGTTTTTCTAGGTTAGGAAATTGTTTTTTTTTATACGATTTTTTAATCAATTTTTAACAGATTTTTTTCATTCAAAAATCATTTCTATAGGATTTTTTTTTTATGTTTTTCAGTAACTTGCGCCATGGGTTACTAGCACATTAGAAGACAATAAACGTTCAATTTTAGGTAATTAAAAAAACCTTTTTTACTTACTAAAGCCATGCATCACGTAAATATGCATGTATACCGGCTATATCCGTCATAAGGTTACCTATCACCCCTCGAATGTGTAGTTGCATTGACTACCCTAAACATCCAATCAGAATTGCGCTTTATGAATGAGAACAGATAAGCAGATAAATTTACTACTTTCCCACGATCTGCGACTTAATAAAGTTAAGTGAATTCTTGGAAGAATGTCGAAACTTAAAATTATACTAAAAAATTTACGTTAAGCCCTTTTCTAGAAGGCAAGTATACCCTTATTTTAACAAAAAAAAAATGTTTCAAGCCAACCCCTTGTGAAGATAAGACAAGGCTACAAAAAATCAATAACCCATCAAATTGTTAAAAAGGTATTTTCAAATTACCCACCCCTTTTGCAACTTGATAGCCTCAATATTGTTGTTGTATTGTTAGCGAAGACAAATTACAATCACTAGCATGAATTAAAATTTCGCATATATGAAGTAAACTATTTTGCATTTCCTTAAAACACTTTTTAGTTTGAATAACACAAAATTGACTCACCATCATTTTCGTATGGATCAAATTCTGGGTCAATTTTTGGTGTTAGAAATGCAATAAACAGATTTAGATGGTATATTCCCAGCGCATAACATACTATATACCAGCCCTGGTAAATGAAGATGCGTAGCAGGAAGAGCAATATCAGCAGAATCGCACCCGCCCAACGCATTCTGGTATGTGGCGTCCAACGATCCAGGGTCGATTGGTACATCTGTGCGATAATAATTTGTTTACAAGTAGTAATAGAATTTTACGTTAGACTTTTTTCTCACTTGTGATAGGCGCACGAAAAACATCTTCACTCCACCGCCCGACGGCGTACTTGTGTCCTCATTCATCATGTTTTCGCTGGTTTGGGTTAGCAGTTAGTATCAGGTGTGAACTTTATTGCCTTCAATTTGTTAACCTAAGTCTTTTGGGTCAGATATTATGGGGAGCATATACGTATACAAAATAAAACAGAAAGGTGAACAAAAATTGAAGTAAAAGTGCACCACAACTCCAACGTCGGCCAGTCGTCGATTACGCACTTTACCAACGCGTATCTGCAAAAAGTTCCACTTCGGCCCTTCGAACAGCAATTCACGTCGATAATACTATTTCCTCATTTTCACTTGTTCGCCTAACAATTTTCTTAATCTTCCGCACAACCACTACTACAAGCACAGCCAACCCGTACACCGACTCCTTCCGAATTCTTCTATACTTTGTTCTTATGACGTTTGCTTCCAATTGTTCTTGCCCGTCTACGCTTTTCGCAAGACAAATTCTCAAGCTAAACCTTATATTTCTTCGATTCTTGAATTTTTAGGAAGGCGTCAAAACAATGACTTGGTCACAAGCTTGAATAAAGCTGTGGGCGGGGATTTCGGTCCAGAATTTTTCAGATTTTCTTGAAATTTTTCCCCAACTCACAATACACGTCACGGATAAGAAAGAATAGATGACAGTTGAATAGTGGCTGCGTTGCCAACATAGAGGAAACGTCAAGCTGTTCACAGAGTTGCCGCTAATTTTCTATTCTACTGTAAACCCAGAACTCCAGGCAAAGCGTTCAATCGTGGTAGCGTTACCAATAGAGAGAAAACTTTAAAGCTGAAGCTCCATAGTAGCTGTTTATGCGACTTGTACATATTTTGTCTGTTCTTTGAACTTCGGACTAAAACCTGTGGAACTGTCAAACTACAATTTTACTCTCTCAAGTGGGAGTAAAAGAAGAACAGATGCAGAAGTGCACGGGAACGCAAAAAGCACTATTTCCTGTAAACACGTCAGTCGGCTTGTTTAACAGTGATTTGGATGAAATATCACTAACTAATTATTAAAATCTATACATATTCAAATATTTCGTTGTTTACTTCCATTTTTTTACAAATATAAGGTTATTTGCTTACACCGCTTACTGCTTTTGTTTTGTCATGCAAATCAGCTGATCGTTTGACACTTTTCATTAACTTACAGGAAAAAACTAACGTACTAAATCCTTTAACTTCTGACTATGAACAGTTGCTCAGTTACTCTCTCAAAAGCGCTCCCACTTATAGATTTTATGTCAATAGGAACGACTTCCTGTAAGTTCTATATTCGTTTGTGAGTTCGACTATAGGCTCAAAAAAGGAAATAACTTAGCAAATATTCCCCGTCATAACACTGAATGAAAAAACTAATTATTAAATCTGCTTTAAGTATTTATTACCAAAATGTAGGAGGCTTAATTACTAAATTAACGAACTTATACCTTAAAGGCCTTGAGTGAAATTATAATATTCTTACTTTTATTGAAACTTGGCTGAAACCTCACATTTTCAATTCAGAGATTCTTTCAAATAATTATCACATCTATAGACAAGATAGGGAGGACAAAATCGGCGGTTGCGTACTCTTCGCTGTAGACTCTTCAATACCATCTGAAGAAGTTAGTCTTCCAGACATTGATTCAGTAAAATTCAAATGCAGTCGTGTACAGGCTGGAAAAGGGTATATTTATTTAGTTCTACGCTACATCCCTCCCCGATCTGACACATTGGTGTATTCACGACCCATCTCTTTACTAAAATCAGTTAATTTACTGACTAAACCCTCTGATTCAACGATTGTGTTGGATAATTTTAATTTACCAAGCATATTTCGGATCTAGTGCGTTCAACAAACGTATTTTTAGAGGAGATAGCTGAACTCTGCCTAACTCAGGTTAATATACTTCACAATAAGTTTGGTAAAGTATTAGATCTTGTTTATGTTGATGATGCATCTAAGTCCGTTGTAAATAAGCGTGATCCATTAGTTTTGCCCGAAGATGTCTACCACCCTGCTATGGAGGTATCTTACGAAGTTATAAGTGATGGTCAAAATTGCAGTACCCAAGCATACGAACCAAATATTCGCTTTGATTTTTCGAAAGCCAACTTTAAAAAGCTTAACAAAGAACTGTCCAAATTGTCGTGGCCTGCATATAAAGAAAATATTGAACAAAGCGTTGCACTTTTTAACTTTACTTTACATAAATTATTTGAAAAGCATGTGCCTAAACACATGTATGTTCCTGAAAAACAAACACAGTTATGGTTCACTAAAGAACTGAGAAATTTGAAAAAAAGAAAGTCGCGTTATTTTAGATTACACAAAAAAAACGGTTTATGGTGCATTTACATGGTATGAAGCCATATGAACTGTTGATACGCTAAAATAGAGGGAATACATGTTCTAATGAGGAATTCAATGATATCGAGTGGGATGCATATAATAAATTTTTTCATATGAAAAATTAGGGGGAGATACTGTAAACATACTGTTGTGATACTGTTAAGTAGGGATGCGCCGGGTATCCGGTAGATATCCGGAATCCAGCCTATCCGGGCGTTTTTTGGTTATCCGGTTATCCGGCCGGATACTGGCTAATATCCGGCCGGATTCCGGATATCGATTATAGGAGATTCAATTTAGAAATTTAACCCAGATTTCGTATTTTTGTAATCCAATTTAATAGTATCTAATTAGTAATCAGAGTTAACAATTTGTATATTTTTCATTATGAAAAGAAGCATTTCCGCATTATCGGGCAACAACCTATTTCTATTTTCAACATAAATGTTACCCGATACACTAAATACCCTTTCCGAGTTCGCTGAGGAAGGTGGCGCGCAGAGATACTTCATTGCCAGTGTAAACAAATTTGGAAATTCTTTGCGGCTATACTTCCACCAAGTTAAGGGATCTTCTTGTCTGGATATAAGAGATAGCTGCAAATATTTCTCTATTTCTAGTTCATAAATCGCTGCCTTTTTTCTTGTACGTTCGCTGCCTTGTCTACCAATCATTTGGCTATCCATATCACTAGAAACACTAGGATCAGCATCAGAGCCGTTGGCGAATTCCTCAAAGCATTGCCAAATATCCTCGTGAGCTCGATCTTCGATGGAAGTTTTCACTATAGTTCGGCATTTTTCATATGATTCAACTGGTTTCTCCATGCTAACTGATTTATAATTTAGAATTAGTTCATCAACAACCCAGTTTTTAGCTTTATTGGCGTCAGAAAAAAAAAAACGAGTTTTGAAACGGTGCGAATCTGTTCCGAAAAAATTACAACAATGCCGCGACTATTTATTGGAATATTCACAGCTCTTCATTTCGTCGTGCCGAAATTGCAGACCTCCGCGTTCGGAAACGAAAAAGGTTAATAGGCGGGTTCTGTATAATTTAAACAAAAATTAACGTAAGAAAACAAAACATCTTGATTGTTCAAAAGCAAAGAATTTGATGAAGATTGTTTTTTGTTTGTTTATAAGATGCCATTTTTCACTGCGATAGCATCGAACAGATGTGTGCGTAATTGTGTTTTCGAAGTGGTAAATTCTGTAGCATTAGAAACGGTGCGGAGGTCGAGGTGAACTCGAGCAAAAAAAAACAATATTGTGAAACTTATTAAGGGCAGCAGTCTACCGGATATCCGATCAGATATCCGAATCCGACTGTTATTTTTTACTGGATATCCGGAATCCGGTTATCCGACAAAATCTATATTCGGCACATCCCTAACTGTTAAGCATATGAAATTATAGCAAGTTGAATTTTCATACATCTTCCCATAAAAAGTTTAACAGATGCAGAGATACCAAGGAGGTTTTTTCCCATTTTGATGCCTTTTTTAATATAAAACCCACCGAAAAGGAGGAAAGCGGCAACTCCGCCATTCACATACATGTCAAAAGCAGGAATTTTAAAAATTAAAAACAATAAACGTTTTACCCTGGCCATCATATTAAAACCCAAAAAAAAAACAATAAACAATAAACAAACAATTTCAAAACAAAAAATTCTTTGTACTAGATCTTTTTCAATGGAAGCAACTCACATATGGTGGGCAATAAAAATACAAAGCACTATGATAACAAGACATTACACAACATTTTAATGAGCTTTATATCACATTTAAGTAAAAATAAGCCTATATTGGCCAAGCTGGCAAAGAAATGAAAAAGTGTACTTTTTGTTGTTTACAAAACGACTTGCCAAATACACATATACATCATGATTCAACCATGAACCAATTAGAACAGATATGACCGGTTGAGAAGTAGCCATTTTTAATAGCAATTGAGAAAAAAGTGTGTGACGTTCGTAATTTTGAAGTTTGCTATTTCTGTTTTGCTTCTTTCTTTATGTGTATTTTGTCGGTGGTTTATTTCAAAGATTTTTAAGTGATTTTTTGTGCAAATGTAATTAAAATGAAGTGCGCGGTGATTGAATGCAAAAACACGTACATAAATAATATATTGATTAGCACAAACATGTGCACAACATTGCTTGCACTTTTTCTTTATGCTTTTTTTTCATATCCTTTGTTTACTTTTCACAGAAAATAACATGGCGCCGAATTTACAAACGTCAGCCAGAAAATTACTTTTTTCTTTTGCTCCATCTTGTCAGATCTTGTGTAGTTGGATCATGTGATTGATAATAGGAGCGTTCCTTATCTCCCAGAAATAGTCAGAGAAAGTCCGAAGTAGTCAGATTTAGTCCAAAAAGCGTTCCCTAACTCGGAAATGACAGCTAAAATGAGAGAGCAACACCCAGTGAGAGTGACTCTCATCAGTCCGAAGTAGTCAGATTTAGTCAGAAGAATTTTTTCTGGCAAAATCCTGAAAAGTGTCAAACTCAACTAAATTTAAATTAACGGAAATTAAAGAATATGCAAAAAGTGAGAATAATCTAAAAAGTAAAAAAAGTGAATTGAAATTGGAAGGAGGCAAAAAAATAATTGATATAGTAAGTGTTTATTGTGCTTGTGCTTGTGTGAATGTGTTTTGTACACAGGGTTCGGAAATATTCATATATGAATCTTCGCGAACATACATTTATGATTTTATACGCGAAGGTGAACGATTCAAATATTCTGTATTGATTCTCCTTCGCGAACGTGAAGCATAAAACCAGTCCAGATAGTTCGCGTTCGCGAATGTTAGGTAGAAAAAATTTCCGCTGTTGTTCGTACGCGTATGTATTGGTGGACCAAACAGCGTGCG